TCCATCCCTAGTTAAAACATAATATGAACTCACCATCTTTTCCAACTTCGTCTCCTATTTCTTTCCACATTTTTTGTAACGCGTATACATTTTTATGCAACGCATGCTTCGGATTCCATATTGCCTCTCGTTTAAAAACGGCGGTGATAATTTCTTCTTCCATTGTGTTTATGCAGATAACCCTCGGAGTTGTCTGAACAAGCGAGGCAAAACGCAACGCAAAACCAACACATCGCGTTTTCCACCGCTCCGCATAGTATAACGTAAGGCACAGCGCGTAGCGCCATGCGCGCGGTCTGAACACATTCATTTAAAGCTGTGTTGTCGTTCCTCTCGCTTCCTACTGGGCTGTAAAGCAAAGCGCACAGCTCCAAGCGAAGCGCGTTTGATGTAAACGTGCACTTAGACTCGCCATAAGCGAGGGAACAATTGTGATCGCGAACATTTTATAAATAAAGTAACAAGTCTTTTAATGTTTTTGATATTCCCGTCGATCTCACTGTCGGGGCCATATCGTAAAATTGACCATTTCATGAAATGGTCGCATCTATTGGCGATGTCATGATGTGCGTTGACCAGATCAATGATAACAAATCGTTTAACGGTATTATCAACTAAACGCGCGGCTACTTCATGTAATGGTCAAGCATGTTTGATCAAGTCGTAAATTAATTAGTAAATGAAAATTGGAAAACTGACGCCTTGACGTTCGAAATAGCTCCGTCGGTACCCCAGGCTAGACGTAAGTTTTGGCAGCTGACCTGGTTATTCTTATCACCTGGATTACGGTGATGCCAACTCATCGGACGTTTTTGCTACCTTTGCTATTTTGTTACAATGTTATAAAAAAGAAGCTTTGAATAAAATATTTAGGAATACCAATGGAGGAACATAAGAAATAAGGCATAACAATATTTGTCAAATAGCTAAAGGTGATTCCGATAAATAGTCCCAATGTACGTGCAAGAACTAACAAAACATTATGTTTTATGAAAATTTGTATTTTTACGAATTGTTAGCAAATTTTTAATCATTTATATCTCGTGTCCACAATTTGCACATAAACATAAAACAATTATTTATATTGTAGATTTCCATGTGTATAAATAGTGTGTGTCCAGGTATTTTGGGGTAACGTCAAGAGTAGCATGATATTTTTGTATTTAAATTACAGTAAAATAATAAAAATAAAGCAAGCCTTAATTATTATGTTTCTCCATTGGTATTCCTCAATATTTTATTCAAAGCTTCTTTTTATAAAATTCTAACAAAATAGCAAAGGTTGAAAAAATGTCCGATGAGCTGGTAACACCGCAAGGTGACAAGAATAACAAGGTCAGCTGCCAAAACTGATGTCTAGTCTGGGGTACCGACGGAGCAATATCGAACGTCAAAAGGCGTCAATTTTCCAATTTTCATTTGCATTTTTTTAAGTGTTGTGCAAAATATTTCGGGAACAATTTTACTACGGATGGTCTTTTAGAGCCTAGTAGAGTATATTTTAACAATTGTCTTGCGTGGCCATGTTATCTTTACTCGGGCCAATAAGCTAATAACTTTTGTACGTTTCATAAATATTCCTGTCTGTAGCATATTTCCTTACCTTACTTCACTAATTGGGAATTTCTTTTCTTATCTCTCTCATCTTTAAAATTCAGCAAATTTGCATATGTAATTTTCAGAATGAGTAAGAAAAAGTGGATGCGCAAATAATTTCTAGCTTTGAATAGATTTCTAGTAAGTGTAGTTGAGACAAGAATCGAATGGAATTATGATCAACACAGATTATTATACACAAATCCTTACAAAGCAACTATGCGTTTCCTTCCAGCTATAGTATACAACTTACAAGTTAGACCTCCAATAATGCCATCTCTGAAGCAGATGTTAGATCATATCAGGGCCAATCATTTAAGCTGAAGTATCGTCACGTTTAGGCAACACGTACAGCTACAAAATGGGTTCACAACAAGTGTACAACAGCTAGTGTTAAGTTGACATCTTGTACAAAAACCTACGTTGTCACAGAAAAACCTACAAAATGTCAAAAAAAGACAAAATGTCGCAAGCTACCTAATACCTACCCGTGCGGAACGTGAATCACAGGTTAGTACTTCAAATCTACTTTACTCTTGATTTACATCATTATCAATATATTTTGAAGTCAATATTGTGTGCCAGCTAAAATATTGTGTTTGACTATTGAACTACTATATTATTCTGCGTATGTAAAACTGATAGTAATTTGTATTTCATTTTTAGTTTATACGTCATAGGGTGACAATGCTAGGTAATACTTTAATTTGTGATATCTGATATGCTAAAAATTTTATTTATGACACATTGTGCAATTTTGTTTTTATACAATTATTTTATTTAAATTTCCTAAAGTTACTAGTTTTAATCCAAATGGCGGTCTTGCAGTAAACGAGTTTGTAACATATCCTGGACTTTCATTAAACAGTCTATGGACACCCTATTCTAAGATATGATCAATTTTTACATGAGAAAATCGTTAAACGTTGACGATTTAACGACATGGTCAAATTTAGTTGGTCATTTCATGAAATGGTCAATTCTGCGATATGGACAAGACATACATTTTAGAAGTCAGCGTCAAATTTGGAACGATTTTAAACATGTTTAGCACCAGCGAACGAATTCTCAAAATATAGGCTATCTCGACTGCTGTTTATTTCCAAGTATCCTGATACCCAGTGACGTTTCACAACTCCAAACCAAATGCGGAATATAGAGTTAAAACATATGTTTAATGTTAAATTTTCATTTTCTTGGTTTCATTCCGAGATGCAAATTATTAATAAACCACCTAACCAAATCTCAAGGGGTGATTGCTTAATCGATTCTGAGAATACAAGTTCATAATATATAATAATAATAATGTCTTTATTCCCACAAAAGAAAATAGAAAACAAGTTGCAAAACCAGTTTTATATGAACATATTATAGTAGGAGGGGCGAAGTTCGGCATATCCGCTCTTCCTCTTAACCCCTGGTTTTAGGTTTACATCATAATAAGATAAGGATATATAAATGAGGTAAAAAAATATATGTATAAGCAGTATCAGAGAATGGACCCTAGCGGCTAATTTGATAAATGGTACTATAAAAATACATAGTGACTCCAAAGTCATACCATGCAATTACCTGCAATCTAACAGCGTATACGTTTCTTAAACAAATCAATAGAAAGAGAAGTATACTCTTGCGGGATATTGTTATAAAGTTTACTGATATTATACGAAAAAGATCTTTCGAATAAGGTGGTAGAATGAAAAGGCGGTGTCAGTTTTGTTTTGTTGCGGGTATTGCGATTGTGAGCTAAGTAACGGAATTTTTTCGTGTAAGTAGGATGGTAGTTTATGTATAATAATCTTATGGTACTGTACGAGTCTTTGAAGCAGCCTGCGTTGCTTCATGTTCAGCCAGCCAGCATCAGTAAGCTTTGATAAAACAGAATCATATTTTCTTAAACCAAAAATAAGTCTCAGACAAGAATTTAGTTAGACATTTGTCATAGACGACATCACAGAAGTAAAAATGCGACAGAACAAGAGAATTGCATAGTATGACTTTAGTTTTTTGGTTCATGTACGATTTTTGACCGTATATCGTCTTTATATTACAATACGCCCTTCTGTAGCACTTGTTAACATGATCCTCAAACCGTAAGTTTTTGTCAAGGTAAAAGCCTAAATTACGCGCTATCGAGCTTATTTCTAAAGTATTGTTATCGAGGTTTATTTTCACCAGAGGTTCACAATGGTCTCTCCAATGTTTCGGCCCGAATAACATGACTGTACTTTTAGCCGGAATCAAGTCTAAGCTTATGTTTCGAGACGCTTTAGTGAGACGGTCAATGTCTTTATTTAATATAATTTATATAATCATAGGTCAGGTAATGCTTCATAGCTAATTTTGTTAGAACCTGTCTAATATTAAAAGTAATAGATATTTAGAGCAGGCGTCAATAATCTCCTTTATAAAAGGAGAGATAGGTAGGTACGACACTATATTTGTGAATATATAGTTTGAGATGCAAATGTAAAAACAGTTTTCATGAAATTTGTATCATTCTCATTCCTAAAAGTTTGCATTCATCACTATTATCTGTGAAATATAGTACACATGGAAAACACAATCAAACCATAAAGGATTTTGCTTTATTCCACGTTTGACCAGTATCAATCACGCTCTGACGTCTACTGAGGTGAACAGCTGATCAGCGAGTGACATTTTTGTGTTAGTCTGCAAGGTTGGCCATAATGAATCGGGTGTAAATCTAGCAAAAAGTTGTTAGTAGCGTTTTGTTGATGATGAAATGAACTTTTCTAAATAAAAGAGCTTTTAGCAAGTTCAAAATGAATCTGTAGCGTAAAAAAAAACAAAAAATATGGCTCTGTCTACCTGGTATTGACGGATCCATCAGAATTATGTGACCTTTGCCCATATGGAGAATTTCGAAATATTACTAGATAACCAGCTGTCATTATACCGTGATGGATACCCATGAAATAGGGTATATATTTTTCCGACATATAAGAAATAAAAGATGCCAGATATTCAAAACAAGAAGTTATTGCTGTTCCAGATAAGTACAAAGTGTTCCTAAGTAAAATCATTACATAACAACTGTTGAGTTTCCCCCTGAAATACTGTGGATACGAAAATGCTGTAGGGCAATAAATCTCGAAACACCCCACCGCGGATGACACACGCCAACTTGACTGCATTATTTTCGCTTCATATCTATAAATAGTGCAAAACCACGAGAAAAATCGCCCAAGAAAATAGACACAATTTCATACCAACGGACATGTTCCCAGTAACCGGGAGCTTTTTCTAAAGAAAAATAAGACCCGTCTATAAGGTATGGCGACCAAGTACAATGTGTCCTTTGCCGACTGTATCCAAGTCAGGCAGTGAATAGCCATCATGGCGTGTTCCAATCATTAGAAATAGGATACAAAAGTACGTACCAGTTGTCTGGAGGACTGTCGCTTCCACTGAGGCGTGTTACTTGACATTTTACACAAATTTACGTAAATATCTGCGAAACGGAAAGAGATCGAACAAGACTACGTCTACACAAAGCGCCATCCAAAGCGCAACTAAAAACGAACAATGGCTTCGCGTCAAAACAGGACAAGATGGCGGAGCGCTATCCTTTTCTAACACACGGTTAATGACACGTTGCCGTAGGTCACCGATTAATGCGGTAAATTTTTGTTGACACTTGGTTCGCCCAAGTTTTAGGCACTGACAGTACTGGCACTGTGAGGTAATTATTTGGTGTATTTGTAGCATCTTTCTTCACAATGTAGAATATAAATAATTATTAATTTACATATTTGCCTTGTTGTTATGATGAAAAGTCTCAATCGCGGTAATTGAGTCAGAGTACCTACTTATAGGTAAAGCACAAATGCAGGTGCGAACTATGAGGTATGATGACAATCTTAGAGGGTACCTACCTATTAGGGACGGGTTATCTGCCCTTTGCAATGTGGACTTTCGGGTCGGCTATGGGTCGCCTTTTCCGGTTTCTGGACTTGGAATTGATTTTTTCTGTAAACCTAACCTAACTTTGGATATTTCTGATCACAGAGAGTTGTTTGACACTATATCAGCTTACTTTTTTGCGCTTAATAGTACGAAAATATGTATATAGCAGACTAACAGACCGACGAGACTTTTAACTAAGAGCAAAGGTCCAACGGACCCCTATGACGAATAGTAGTACCAATTTTTGTTGGAAAACTTTTTACTTGACAACAAAGAATGAGAAATACAGAAATAGTAATTTGTTATACAACGGAAAAAAGTACTAGATTTAAGTAGCTAAAATCTAGTATTTTTCCCGTGTATAATACACAATTTTTTTCTGTGACGGGAAAAACGACGATTTAATATAGAAAAATTAGATTACTACAATAAGTACTTAAGTCAGAAAATTATCGATGTGTAATATTGAAATAAGTAGGCTGTTGTACGTTGTACTTACAGCGACAATTAGACCTGCGTTCCTAGGGAAATTTTTAAGTAATCAATTTAATTTTGTGATTTGATTTAATTGTGAACCTAGAGATTGTTTAGAAGTTATTTTTAATATTATAAAGTAATTAATGTCTGATTCCGAGTTTTCTGTGACTCCACCGGAATTAGCATAAGTAGCCAAAGTAGCGTCACAAAAATTATTGTCAGCGGATATACAATATCCGGGAAACAAGTACTCATTTTTTTCCCGGGGAAAAAAGTAATTTCATAAAAAGTAACATTTTGTTACCTGTCAACAGATTCAATCGAACGTGTTGACAGGAACGAAAAAACTCTACATGTAAGATTTTTAGATATTTATGAGACCTACAAAATGAGACCACATGTAACAAGATCCGACTAATAGTTAAAGAGTTATGGCCGAAAACCGAGGCAAACTGCAAGTTTTGGCACTTGTTAGTAATGCGACGATGGTTTCTCGCAGATACTTGAAATTCTTCAAATTCAAAGGATTTACCGAATTCTGAATCGAAAGTCTATTTTTGCTCTCAAATTCCATCATTTCAACGTATAATTTAATGAGACATCTCAAAACAGAGCAACCGGGTTCCCTAGATAGTGTCTGTACTGTTACCCTGCGCCCTGCCAGCGATGCTGTCAGAGCAAGGCAGCGTTCTCCGTTCATCGTATCGTCGTAATCGACTGCGTGTCTCGTCTATGAATATTTATACTGTACCTAAAATCTTTGACGCGTGAAATACGACCAACAGGTGCGTAAAATTACTGGAGTTGAAAGCGTATAAATATACTGCCTCCGACAAAATGAGATATACCTTCTACCACCCCCTACAATCCCGATTCGCAACGCTTACAAACATTTTTTTCTCTTAAACGTCATAAAACGAAGTTTGAGCGATTTTTTTTTAGTTTTTGTCCATAGCTGCGCCGCTACTAAACCGACTTTCAAAAACTACAAGGCTTTCTCATATTTGGCATATTAGTAACCTATGAAAATTTCATCCAAATCAACAGGGGTATTACGTAATTTGAAAAGTGACATTATTTCGTTTTTTTTGACATAATCAAATTCAAGCGGATAACCAAATGGAAATGGTATTTACCATTTTGGGTTGGTATTTACCAATCCGTTCAAGCGAGTGTAGTTATCAGTTTGGTTATAAGATCCGTGACGTCACGAATCAGCTGTTATATGTCATAGTTATCACCGCAAAATTGTGGTATTTACCCAACTCAAGAGTAGTTTTATATTTCTGGTTATTATTTGAAATGTGACAAGTTGAATTTTGCCGGGTATTGGATATTGTTATTGTACTTCAGCTTCATTTTTGAGAAAAATGATACAGGCTGACTTCAGTTTTACCATAAAGTGGAGCACCTTATTAGTTATACTCATTACGGTTGTTGGGGACACTTTAAATGTAGTTCCTATGCTTAACAAAGTATTCTGTGTAGCCATATACCACAAGAATATTAAAATATGGCCATATAAACTCACTAGATGATATCCACCTGTATACGGTTTTGCTAATGTCTTTTTTCATCATTTCTGCTGAATCAATAAATGTTTTCTTTGACATGCGGAAAAATTTATAGAATTGAAAGTTATCATAGCTACAAAGCCATGGTTCCATCATTAAAAAAAAATCTGAAAAGAACATTTCTCCCATGAATATTATGAAAGGTTTGTTATTTAAACTTTCCATATACAGTTGTAGACGAAAAAGCACCGATTATTAAATGATAATAAAAATAATCAGAGATTATATACGCGCTTTTCTAAAATAAACAACTTGCAACAAAACCGCGGTTAAAACCAACGCGTTCAAGCGATTCGTGTAACTGACGTCATCAACCCGTGTGTCATCTTGAACCATATTATAACCGCGGCACATAACACAGAAATTTTGTTATTCGCTTGGATTTGATTTATGTGTGTTTATTATGACATTATAATCAAATTCAAGCGAATAACCAAATGAAAGCGGTATTTACCATTTTGGATTGGTATTTACCGATCCGTTCAAGCGAGTGTGGTTATCAGTTTGGTTATAAGATCCGTGAAGTCATGAATCAGCTGTTATATGTCATAGTTATCACCGCAAAATTGTGGTATTTACCCAACTCAGGAGTAGTTTTATATTTCTGGTTATTATTAATATAAAATATATTATTAAATGTGACAAGTTAGAATTTTGCCGGGTATTGGATATTTTTATTGTACTGTACCTTCATTTTTGGGAAACTTGATACAGGCTGACTTCAGTTTTAGTATAAAGTAGAGCACCTTATTAGTTATAATCATTACTGTTGTTGGGGATATTTTAAATCTAGTTCATATGCGTAACAAAGTATCCTGTGTAGCCATATACCACAAGAACATTAAAATACGGCCATATAAACTCACTGGATGATGTCCACCTGTATGCGGTTCTGCGAATATCTTTTTTCATCGCTTTTTCCTACCATTGCTGCTAAATCAATAAATGTTTTCTTTGACATGCGGAAAAGTTTAGAGAGTTGAAAGTTATCATAGCTACAAAGCCATGGCTCAATCATTAAAAATTTTTTTCTGAAAAAAAAGATCTCCCATTAATATTATGAAAGGTTTCTTTTCTAAACTTTCCATACACCGTTTTAGACGAAAAAGCACCGATTATTAAGTGATAATAAAAATAATCAGAAATTATATACGAGCTTTTCTAAAATAAACAACTTGCAACAAAACCGCGGTTAAAACCCATGCGTTCAAGCGATTCGAGTAACTGACGTCATCAACCCGAGTGTCATCTTGAACCATACTATAACCGCGATACATAACACAGACATTTTGGTTATTCGCTTGGATTTGATTTATGTAGGGTTTCCTACAAGACGTCAACTTGGAACCAACTGTCGTTCACTTCATGCTCACTTGTACCGGAATGAGCTATTTGCACAATAGTCTACTTAGTCAACAAGTTGAAATTTTATCGGTTCTTTTGATATTATATAGGTGTTTTACGTAATCTGAGAAAGTGCAGCAAACCAAAAATAAGTCTTGAAATTATAAAGTTAGTGCATACCAGTATTACATGACGCTTAAAATAGTGGCACAGGCAATACTGTTTTCTTCCTTTTTGTGCGAATAACCATACTTTCTATAGTAGTTTTCGCAGATAAAAGAAATTCTATACGGAAAGTAGTTTCCTTTGCCATTTTGTCGCTAATTTTTTTCTTTTTTTTACACCGAAACAGCTGCGCAGGCAGAAGCCGAAATGCCAGGACACCGCGGCTGCTATGAGGACCCCAAAGAAATTTTGTTAATCCGATTTTTGAACTGCATAAGGTTAGTAGGACTGGAAAAAGCCCCCTCTTGTAGATTGTTCCACAATCTCGACACCCTAGGTACAAAGGAGCGGTCGCATCGGCCAGTTCTGGATGTACGAAATTCGACAAACGTTTGAGCAATACTCGAGGCTAGTTCTTATCTGGTCCTTGTATAGATTGAGGAGGTCATGTGGAGAAAAGTACTTCTTAGCCCTAAACAAATAGTCTTGCTTTTTCCCGGCAGCTGCTGCTATTGACGAGATGTGTTCGTACCGGATCAAGTTCTCGGTGGTCTAGACCCCGACCAGCCTAAATGAACGGCTCTTTGGTAGAAGGTGGCCATCCGTCGAAACCGGATAAACGCTAGGATGCTTTTTGTTCGTCAAGGTACAGTACTGTGTTTTGGAAGCACTAAACTGTACAAGATTGTTGCGACCGCAAGCAGTGGTAATCTTCAGATCTCTCGTCAGAGAGGAAGTCGCTGCTTGTCTTCCTTTTTCCAGCTCACCGGCAGAAATCGGCTTGTCGCTCTGAATTTCTACGATCCCCTTCCCACTTCAGTTGGCACACCTTGAAATCTTAGTTTTTTTCTTATCAAACACAAATAATAAAAATGTAGCAGGGTGTTATAGGTTTAAAACATTAACAATGAATATTTTGATAATATATAGTAGAAAACACCAACTTTATCACTCCCTAATCAAATTTGCAGTATAAAAATAACACATGTTGCAATTACAGTATATCAACCTATTTTCATTTCAATGCAAAATA